TACTATAAACGTCAACGAAAGTACTGTATATTGGTAAATATCACTGGTCGACGGCCAAAATTTACCAGAGACGCCGTTATGAAATTCGTATGTAAAATCACCCCCTGATTCCGAAAATCAAGGTTATTTTTAATTTTATGGTACCGTTTTTGAGATATTTGCAATTTACCGTTTTTGCAAAAAATATATCTCAAGAACGAATAAGCAATTCAAAACGGTTTGAAGCTTTTAAAAGGTAATAAAATTTTCTATAAGCTGTGCATACAACACTTTTTGCTAGGCCCTGTAGATTCAAAGATAACGAACAATCATTACCGATTTTTTCAATTTTTTTGTAAAAATATAAAAAAAATTGTACTTTGCGGGGAAGGATCTCGAAAACTTTTTATTTTTTTGCAGATTTTTTTTTTCTCCCTAAGGTCTGTTATATTACAAAAAAAATAAGGTATCATCGAAGAAAATCGATGCAAAACTACGTAAGTTATAAGCGATCAAATAAAAATACCCAGGTTGCGCAATTTCAACGTATACCTCAAAACGTATGTATGGTATAAAGAAGAGTGAAATATCTAGCTATGCTCTGTTTCTATTGAGTTAAAAGTTCAATTTATGAATGAAATTACCCATATTTTTAACTTTTTTTTTAAATTTATTTATGTTTATACTATATTCTAACAATCTTTATCTTAATTTGATTTTACTATGTTGTCGAAATAATTATGTGTTCTACTTTGACGCTTATTCAGTTTAGGATCGGTTTCTCTTATGAGAAACCAGCAGTAATCACCCATCATTGCGACGTCCCAGAATCCTTGATATCGATTCTCAATTAATTTCATTTGCTGATGAAACCTTTCGCCATGTTCATCACAGATCAATTACGTTTCTCTTTGATTTTAATATTTTTTTCCCTCAGTGTACAAGTGGCGCCCAATTTAAATATGGAACGTTTGAAACTTTTATATATTAGGAATAAAGGCTTTTTCCTCGCTATAATCACTTTTTTAAAGGTACAATAGGCAAAAAAGGCAATATCTAAAAAAAGGAAAAAAGGCCAAATCAAATGTGCATATATGGAATCAGGGAATGCTAAATCGTGGATTCGTAATCTCTTTAGCAGAAAAAAGGTAATTTCCATAAAATCCGTTCGCTGATTATTATTATCCGATACTACTAACAAGCAATTGGTATTGACGCAAACCTGGTATACGAACATCCTTAGGAACATTATTTCCTGATTCTATCACATACAAAAAATTATTACACATTTCCATTTGACCATTCAAAAGTGGAGTATTTATCCACCGATTTTCATCGTAAATACCTTAATTTTTTGGCAACGGAAAGGGCTTTAACACAAATAAGAAAAATGTATAAAAAAGGTATTCGTTTTTTTTCTTATTTCTTTGTTAATGTTTGAATTTTTTTCATAAAAATGAATACATCTTGGAAAAATTACCTGATCTGAAAAAACGGTATACATATCCTTAATCTTTGATCCAAAATTAAGTTAATATGATTCGGCGTTTTTTTTTGTCATTTAAAATCATGAGATTTTTCCTACAGTGATATTAATTCATTAAATAAGATATAAATACAAAGTTCTATGTGTCGCATTTAATTTTTTTTTTTTTGGTTAATTAAGTTGGCGTTTGATTTAAATTAATTGTATTTGTGTTTGTATTAAATTGATTTGAGTTGGGGTGAAACTGATTTGCGTTTGCTTTGAAATAAATGTGCAAAATCTATATACAGAATAAAATATCGTTCAAACAATTGATTTATAGGAAGCTTTCTTTTTTGCATTTATAAAGTGCTTATCATAACTTTACGACACCCTCATATTGACAAGATTTGACCATTTATCTTAATATTTTTTACATTTTAATTCATTTAGTTATTCTTTGTGGAACATTTGAAAAAAAATCTTAAACTTTTGTAAAAATTTCGAGCTTTTGAATCCGATTTTTAAGAAATATTTTGAGTGCAAGTTTCAAGTGGCTACAAATACCGTAAGTTTCTTCCATACAAAGGAAGCAGTCAATTGCCTTTTCCTTCATGTACTTTCAGCTACTTTAAAATGCATTTGGCTTAAACGACTTCAAAGTCAGTATGTTTCATTTGAATACGCTTTCGTTCTGAACTTCACAGATGCTTTTTCATATTTAAAAGACACAAAAAAAATATTATTATTTTCACATGTTGCCTCTTTAGGACTAGGTCCGAGTTCTGGAATCTCACAAGTAACAGCAAGCATCTCACGCTTAGCTTCATCCAGACATGTAAATGTGCTTTCAAATGTTCAGTTTGAATTGTGTGCAAGCAGCAAGTCGACTCTGCATTTAATTTCAACTACTTTAAAATGAATTGGGTTTAAACAACTTCAAAGTCAGAATGTTTCTTTTGAACACGGTTACGTTCTGCACTTCACAGATGCTTTTTCATACTTCCAAGACATAAATTGTTTTTTTTTTTTTTTGAGTAAAAAGAGTATCAAAATTCGAAACTTTTACTCCTAGCATTTGTTTTAAAGTAGTCTTTGAAATAGTTGATTTAAAAGAAAAAATCACTTGTTTCCGTCAGGATAGGTTCCATTTCGATTATACTACGCATACTTTCAAGGGTTTTATACACAAAAAATCTGTTTTTGCAAGTTTATTTAAATAAACTTTTAAAAAACTTACTTTACGTTTATTATGCTGTTGGGTTGTATAACGCTGTTGAGTGGACTTTGATGTATATGCACATATGTGGATACAAATGTGTGAGCATACATCACCGCATTCTAAGTAGTTAAATATAATACTATGTGTGTACATAAGTGTGTTTATAAACGTAAAAGTTTGAAGTATGCAGGAAAGCATGTCAAAATGAAAAGCAAGAAAAAAGGTGAAGGATATTATATTCTTAACCTTTGTCTACTCTTGACTTAATACATATAATAACAGTAAATATGTACGAGGTTATGTGACTTAGTTTATTGTTTTTATATTTACAGTGCACAAGAGTGTTGGTTGCAACAATACAAATATTAACAAGAATAGCAACAACGAAAGCATGAGGCAACCACTAAGGACGTACTTATTTGCCTAAACAAAGCAGCGACACAAAGGAAAAAGCGAACGAAAAAAGTATCTCTATCATTACATAGAACCTGGCGACAGTGGTGACAAGACTGACAGCGCACACATCCCCAGTGGTCCCGACCTCGGCTCGAGATACTCGGCTACCGATTTGGTTGGGGGAATGGACGCACACCAAGTGTGGCATAAAAATTTAACCAATTAAGCCAGTCATATCCTGCAAAGAGATAAGCTAACTAAGGGCAAAGGGAAAAATCTTAGCCACTCCAAAATGTTCAAATAAGTCGATAAAAAAGTAAATACTAAACTCGTCGAATTGTGATTGTGGGTCAGCGCGACTCGCTGAGTGGCAAAGTCAGCACCTGCCTACTCTTAGAACCCTTCATCTTTGCTGCTATATCTCGTCCCCTTAAAGTGTTCTGTACTCAATGCACTTCAGTTTTCTACTCCATTCTACTACTTATACAATTTCTACTTGTTAATGCTGTCTCACACGCTCGCATCTAGTTAGTTAGAAAATGGTTGTATTTCTAACCTACCAGTAGTTAAGGAATATACATACATACTCGCACCGTACATTGGGAGTTGCGGCAAAAATAAATAGAAGTCAAGCCGCTAATCAACCGCCCAATCAAGCGTGCAACCAGCCCACCAAAATATCCGAACTGGGCAATCAAGGCACCAAATAAGCCCAAAATAGCAAATGTCTAAATTGAAAACCTTCACGAAAAAGCAGCGGAATGAAATAAAAAATAAGAAATAAATGACAAAAAATAGAAAAACAAAAAATCAAGTGCACAAATCATCTTAAAGCAGTGGCGCATAAATCCTTGCTAGGATCATAGTCTGCCGCCTTTTCCCATACTTAAAGTAACCGTAGCAAATACTTCAACAGCTGCCGTCAAAAGCAGCTGTCACCGAAGTCAGCAGTTACGCGTCCCACAATATTCGATTCACCTTCAGTGTTTTACTTATCATTATTCAAGTACTCTTTGCCAACTTACGCAGCTGAAAGTGAACACTTTTTCGTAGCTGTTTTTACCAACCTCATCACATTCGCCATTCTTTCGACCCTAATCAGCCTCGTAACCCCAACTGAGGTAGCAAATAAAATGGATGATGCTCCGCCGCCGTCGAAGAAGAGCACCACACTCTCCGTGGACCGCGCTGCTTTCCTGCTGCTGCGTGTTAAGAAGGCATTCAAGAAGAAACGACAGCAGCGCAAGGAAAAACAGTAAGTTGCTATTTGCTAAGTATGTACATTAGACTGCATCACCAAAAAAGTTGCGGTTTTCCGCCGGGATTACAAAATTTATTATATTTTAAGACGTTCACCAAAATATTTCGGAAAAATATTAAGATTTAAGCGAGCTGGACCGATTTGAAAATACCTCCAAAAATGGAGTTTTTTATAAATAAAAAAAGTTTGTTAAAGAAATTTTTGAAAAAATTCCCCTCAGGTGACAAAACAAATTTGGCTTAAAAATTCTGCATAAAAATATTAAAAAATCTTTCCAACGGAATCGTAATAATGAGTTTTTTGATGCTGTGTTTTTACTTTATTCACAGATTGATTTACGAAAAACTTAAATAACTGGGCCAAAACTATTCTGATTTAGACTTATTGGATCTCGGTAGAAAGTTATTTCCCACTATTTTTATTTACCTATCTGCAAAAAAAGTCATTCGTGTCCCAATATTATTTTTTTTTCAAATACCAACACATCTTAATTCAACTTTGAATGATATTCGTTCATCCTACCTTTCTCCTTCATCCTTTGAATGAGTTTATTGCAAAGAAATAAAAAGGGTGAGAAAATATCTTTCCAATGATATCTCACAAGTCTAAATCGGGAGAGTTTGGGCTCAGCTTTTCAAGATTTTCTTATACCAATATTTGAAAAAAGTTAAAAACAACATCAAAAATCTCATTATTACGATTCTGTTCAAAATTTTTTTAAAGTTTTTTAAGTTTAAACCGTTTTGTCATTTGAGGGGATTTTTTTCAAAAAAAATTTGTAAGAAACTTTTTTTATTCATAAAAACTCCATCTTTAGAGGTATTTTCAAATCGGTCCAGCTCACTTAAATCTTAATATTTTTTCGAAATATTTTGGTGGGCGTCTTAAAATATAATAGATTTTATAATTACAATGGAAAAACAGTACCGATGTTTTTTTGTATGGCGAGTGATGCAGTCTAATGTACATATATATGTATGCCCCACTAATAATAATTACAAATCCACCCCGTATTTACAAGTTTCACCAATTATTTTTTTTTTAGTATTTAATTTAGGTAATTTTTTATAAAAATATAGTTTATTCTTTAAGAAAAACTGTATCATTCCAAATTTCAAACTTTGTGCAAGAACTAGAAATATTCTGCAAAGTTTCATCTAAATGTTGAGCTTTTTAATACGATTTTTTCTTAATATTTTTAGTATGTTGTCTTAGAACCCAGTAGATAAATTTTAATATAAGAAAGTGCAAGTGTGAAACTACGGAAAAGTTTCGCTGATTCTTGATATTTTGTTTTGCTGACAGTGTCACGTATTTTCTATGTTCTCATACCAAAAAAAACCGTTTGCAATTAACAGTACACTAAATTTCATTTTTTCCGAAAGTGCTGTCAAACCAATTGAGTGTTGCCATGTGATCGGATATTCTGCGTATTTGTGTAAAAATATAAATATGTTAAAATCACAATTAATTGTAAATGGTTCCGGTAAAAGCGAACTTTACTTGCGCGCATTCACGAGACATCGCCTATCTGCATACGTGTACGTGGCTTACCGAAATCACAACATACCAAATCAGGGCCGGATCGTGAGCTCGAAATTGTGTACGCCCAAGTATGATAGACATTTTATTTTATTATATTATATATTGTTTATAAATGAATTATAATTTTACAAATCATATATTTTGAGTCATATGTTTTTGAGAAAAATACACCGTAGTAATTTTAAAATTTCAAAATTACATTTCTCGACTGAAAAATAGGATACTCGAGCTAACTCGACGGCATTTAGCACTTATGTGTACACTTCATACATAAATAGTACGTAAGTAACTCAAAGTCTGTAACTCTACATTTCACAATTTTCAAAATTTTCCGTTTATCGCGTATAGGTTTTGAAGCATTTAATTTTAAGAATTTTTTTAGTATGTATTGTATTCTACAAACAATTACGAATAATTTGATACCTTAGCAAGAGGTGTGCTTTCAGAATAAACTTACTTTTAAAGATAAAATATTCTGCGATCTTGAGCATAATTTTTATTCCAAAAACACCTTAATTGAAGGCACATTTGGAAAATACGTCGAAACGATCTAAATCTTTCTTTAACTGCTAGTCCTTATAATATTACATATACCTGTAAAATGGTTCAAAAATTTTTTCTCTAGAAGTATGTAAAAACCCCGATTTAGTACCTTTAATTATGCTCCCTCTTGTAGTCAGAATATTTCGAGCGTGGTATCAAATCAAATTTTTTTCGACAAAGGTTCTGATAGTTGCTCTTACTTAATTGGAACCTTTTAAATTCAATGGCGTCCCCAGTTTTGCCCGATTTTTCCACTTTTGGAGATAGCGGTATTTGAAACTTTGCTTAAATTTGAACTATTTTATAAAAAAAAAAACTCCCTCAGTTTTGAAGATATTTTACCAAAATTTTACACACGCTTGTATTTTAACATTCACTTCACTATTTCATAAAATCATCGAAATCGGTTCACTCTCAAATCTAGCTCCCATACAACTGAATGTCCAGAGACGTTGTTTTGCGGTATAACTCCTCCAATTAAGCAGGTAAAAATTTAGTATAGGTTCACTTTAATATATAGCACGCAAACAATATATTATTCAGATATGAAATTAGAGTTATAGCGCAAAAACACACATCTGAGTAATCAGTTGTATTGGAGCTATAAGTTAAAGCACACCCATTTCGATAATTTTAAAGAATAGCTAAGGTAATATTAAAAACCCGTTATGTGCAAAATTTTAGTAAAATAACTTCAAAACTGAGGGAGTTATTTATAAGATAGTTAAAATTTAATCAAATTTGCAAATACCGTTATCGCGAAAACCGGAGCCAATCCGGTAAAACGGGGCCATTGCCATTGAATTTAGAACATCCCAACTATGTGAGTTCAACTTTCAAAATCTTTTCTTAAAATTTACAACTTGAACAACGTAATTTGAACCCAGCTTATTCTTTTGTTTTCTATTTATTTCATGTTTATTCCTCGTCTAACTTTTGAAGCACTTGATGAAAATTAATTACACTTATATTAATCGATTTATTAAGAGAGTACGAATAAAATGATATATAAAACATAATTGTGCTCACAAATTTAAAAGTTAAACATTTTTTTTGGAGATTGTGCCTATTTTTTAGATTTGCCCACATGTATATTGATACACTCATTCTGGTGCAGTGATTTTCGTTTTAAATTTAAAAGCAAAAATTTGTTTTAAATGAAATTTTTCGTTGATTTTACTGTAACTAAAATTTTGGATAAGACGAAAACTTTGTGTTAACCAAAAAAATTGCAAAAATTGAAGAAAAATTGCAGCGCTTATATACAACTTTCTATGATTTTCTTTCAATTAACCGAGTGCTTAGGAAAGCCGATGCTTCAAAATATCTAGATAATAAACTTGTTTGTATTCTTCTTTTACGATTAATTTATTTTTATTGCCGTTTTTCCATGTGATAGAATTTTAATCATTTTCAAGATGGATGACCCCTGTTTGGTAAACTCTAAAAAATCTGTTTAAAAATACGACTATAAATCGAGTATATTTTTGTTCATTTTTTTAATTTTTTGGTAAATTTACACTATGAATATGTATTTTTCTCGTTTACATATTTTCGTGCGTAAAAATCCTTTTCGTTAGCGGCTTTATACAATTCTACGGTTGAAATCAAACAGCAAATGTGTAGTTTGTAGCTTAAACAAACCTTCGTCGGAAATTTACGCACACCACAGCAGCTAAATTACGCTCTTAAAACTCCGAAATTTAAACAAGCTATTCGTTGAATAATCGAGCATGTAATTTCGCGAATAATAAGGTAGGAAATCAGTAACCTACTCTGCAGGTAGGAAATTTACACAATTTTTTTTAGAGTGTAACCTTCCTGGTTATAGTTGAGCTTGTCTTATCCTTTTTAAATCATACAACCGCTAAATAAATAAAATAAATTCTCATTTTATCTCACTGATTCGATACTTTTTCTCATGCTTTAAGTCGAATGAAAAATATAGAGTTAAGCATGTTTTCCTCGCCTTCCACTTTTCGAAGAATTCTCCGGCGAAATCAAGCTGCGAAGTATATTTTGCTTTTAATTTCTCAAAATTGTGAGCAAGCACTGTTTGTTAATATCCATTTGAGTAAATAAATTGCTTGGTCCGAAAGGACGTGCATTGCTTTTGCATGCCAAAAAAGTGCTAACAATTAGATTACTGCCTTTCATTACGGTAGTATGACTTTACTAAGTTTACTTGAATTCAGCATTATTTGTTAAAAAATGCGCTTTTAGAGTTGAAATGCGAATTAAATTCGTCGATTTATTTATTAATTGCTCGTATATACTTGCATGCTTACATATATGTATGTATATGAATATAGATATTTTTACTGCTTTATTTTCTAACAATTCCTTCAAATATTTAAATTCTCTAAGGACTTTAAACTTTTTCATTTCATTTATTTTTTTACCGTTCGATGTGAAATGTTGCCGCTGAATGGCCACATCAAAGTCTACCCGTCAGTCAGCCTGACTGCTTGTCTTCGTAGCCCATTTACAGAGCTGTTATTTTTCCACTTCATTGACTTTCTGTGGTTTTGCGCAGCATCTTTTCAACCGGCTTGCAGGCTTGCCAACCACGATATTCACCAACTTAGCATTAACGCACAATGCAACAAAAGGACAGGCGAGGATAAATTAAGATGGTGGCAGGAAAAGACAAAACATTCTATTAAAGTTCGATTCTTCGATTTCTATTCCTCTAGCAGAGGAACGCATTGTCTGTTCGCAAGTACATATATGTATAAACAACGTAAAGGAGGATTTCTGGGTGAAACTTTAGAACGGATGATCGGATACTTTAAGTCACTCGCGCGTCTTTGAATGGTAATAAAAAATCTGACTTTTATGGTCTTATTTCTTTCGGGATTGAGCACGATGTCGAAAGGAGGTTTGTTTGGAGTTTGGTAAAAACT